GTTGACAGATGCTACTGCCACCATTCCTATCCTGACTGGAAACCAAGGGCTTGTCCCCCAAAGCCTGCTTGTGGATTTTATGTGACAATCCTGCACTCCATTTCAAGGCCTTGTTATCCAAATATATCTACTATACAGCATATCTCTGCTCGGAAGCTGTGGATGCCAGCGGGAATGTCTCCTTGTCTTTGGAAGCTTGTAAGCCACGGAATCCCTGGGCTCTGCTGCCATCGTGTGGGCAGCTCAAACACACAGCCCTAACCTTGCTGGACAGGGCAATGTGCGTAACTAGAAAGCACAGTTTTTCTGGCAAAAGAGAGAGCTGGACTCTTTCCCTTGGGTGGCTGCGTAAACCCTTACCCATCTCCTTCTGAGTTCAAGCTGTGTTGCTGCCTGGGAGAGAATTCCAAAGCTGTGAAGGAAATTGCTTTGTGTGTTCACCAATTCACAGAATCATTCAGTGCAAGGCTGAGAAAAGACAAAGTGATGTCCTAATGCAGAGGTGGAAAACTATGGCCCTTTTATGACTTGTGGACTTCAACTCCCAGAATTGGCTGGCTCAGGAATTCTGGGAGTTGAAGTCCACAAGTCATAAAAGGGCCTTAGTTCCCCACCCTGCCCTAATCCAACACTTGCCCAGTTCAGGAATCCACACAAGAGCCTCTGTTTAAAATGTTCCAACAGAGGGAAATCCACTCTCCGTTCCATGGCTACACAGCTCTTTCAGAAGACCTTCTTTCTGATGTCCAGCCATGGGCAATGAAGAGATGAGGCCTACAAGAGTCACCCACTTCTGAGCCAGATTGCTCCCTCCATTTGGCTGGGCTGTGATCCTTGGCAGGTGAAGGATTTTAGTTAGGCTTCTCCAGACTAAACACAACAACTCTTCCAACCATTCCTTACAAGTTTTTCTTTGTAACCCCTTACTGTCTGGGCTCTTGAGATGCTCTGTTCTAAATGTAGGTGCTGAGAATTGCATGCAGCTTGACCAACGCCATATAGAGAGGATCTCTTGGGATTTGTAACCTATGAGACAACTGGCAAAAAAAGTCTTGGTGGGAAGAAGATGAGAGGGGAGAGGGGAGACAATGCTGATCTCCATTCTCCATTTTCAGAAGTTGACCCATCTCTGGCCCATGAACCAGCTGTAGGATTTCTTTGTTTGGAAGTAGCATGTTATGTGAATAGACTGTTGTATTTTGTTGAGTGGGTTTAGATATTATGGTAACCCAGCCTACAGGCAGGAGCGCTCCTCAGACACCGGAGTGCCAAGGCATTCATTTCTTGAAACTGTATATGGTATATGTACACACACACACACTTTGTCAGAGGACCAGGAAGTACCAGATCGATGTGTCGATTGGATTTGTCTGTTGAAGCATTTGATGTTACATGAAGGGAGCTCATTCCAGTGCTTGTTAATTGCCCATTGTAGTGATCAGGTCTGTAGCAGCATCGATCTCACCAGAATCAATGGGGCTGATTTAGTGTCTTACTAACTCTTTAACAGGACACCTCATCAATAGCCAGCCACTTACAGATCATCAGTACTTTATTGCAGGACCCCATTGCCAAGATCCCACACTGGCACCAACCCACTTCCCACTTGCCAGTCATCCTGAATGGTTCCTGTAGGTGAGATATTTGCTAGAACAAGACAAAACTCAACCTTCTGAAATGTCTTCTGAACTTATCCATAAGAGTATGATTTTTTTTAAAAAAAATCTGTGGGGAAGAGTCATTGCTGAGTAGTAAAAGTACTTACCTTTTACATGCAGACAGCTCAGCTCCAAAGTCAAGCTTTGCCATCTTCTGGAAGGTTATCAGTGCTATCAAGACTACACCAAAGGGCCAATTTGTTCTGACTCTTTAGAAGGCTCTTTTATACTTTTAAATGCATTGATCTTCAATTTATATCAGGTAAATTCCATATCCATTTCACATTCAGTGCTACTCATTCACCCTTCCTGTTGAAAATCTGGTTTGTTCTTTGATGGCTGGCTGTGGAATACAAAATCACTTCAGAGAAACAAGCTCTACTTGATGTCCAATGTATGAAGATCACAAGCTGAACTATCAGTGACACAAAGATCAGTTGAATCGTAACTTTGGAGAAGATTGCACTATTTTTGGTACACATACAAGTGTGTTGGAAGTGAAGCATTCAGCTGATTATGGGTTTGAAAACCTCTATCTTAACATATTGCCAGAGATTCAATGCTTTTCATAGGGATGACAGCAAGCCCAGACGTTTCACAGAAAAAGGCAGGTGCTGTTTTGAAGGGCACAACTTCAGTTCCAGGGTAGCACAAGGACTTGGAAGTAGCCCAACAGTTCTGTTTGAAGCTCTAATTTGTAAGGCAATAGAAAAGGAACATAATACAATACATGGCAGGTAATTGTATTAACTGAAATGTGATTCTGTTTTAATTCAATTTCAATTAAAATGAATCCAATTCTGTGTTGGACTTAATTCCACCCCTGCATTGGAATGCAGTCCCCGGTCTTTAGCCTAAAGTGTTGCATGCTCAAAATTATAGCTGCCAGTAGATATTTTAGCAAAAGCCCACCCTGCCAGGACTTCCATGCACTCACCTGGTACCTATAAAATATTGGCCTGTATTAATTGGTGTCTAATGCTGCATTCCCTGGCAAGGCATATATGACATATGCATCTTGTGACAAATTTCCCTTCCTTAGCATCTGTTGGTTGTGCATTTTGAGTGTCCTCCTCCTGGCAGGTCCTGGCAAACTCATCATCCTTCATTTTCCAGCTGATGTATGCTTCAGCTGGAGCCCTGACCTTCTGGGCGAACGCAAGATGGAGAGGGACTGAAAGATCAGCTTTTGTAAATAACTGATGGTGAGGAACAGTGGGATGTGACTAGCATTCGCTTCCCCAACAGATGGATGCTTGGATGACGGTTTGTAAGCTGTTGTTCTTCAGAGGCTTGTTTGTCACACATCCCAAAAGAATTGCTCAAGGACTTACAATACCAACCTCTCCCCAAAGCCCTGAACCAACTACCAGAATCTCTAGTCATGCACGAGAGTTAGGGATTCTGGAGTTAATGTCCAAGACAGAGGAAGGACACCAGGTTGGTGAGGCTCTTCTAAGTTAGTTGAAATGCAAAGTTCTCATTGGCCAGGAATTGTCACCCTATGTATGGCTTCTATAGGGTGAATCTGAGAAAATGATTGCCATCCAAGAGAAGGGCAGGAACTGGGTAATTATTCTGCCTATTTCTTGTGCCTTTTGGCATCCAGGGCCATTGACTGGGATGCATTAAGACTTGCTCTAATATTTGCCACAGTGGCACATAGGCAGAAGGGTGAGTGGTGAGTCCTTACAGACACCAGCTCCGGTTTCAGCTCTTTCCATGCAGAATGAGGCATTTATTTCTCTCTAATTTTCATTCTCTTGAGTTTTGTGTGGTCTAAAGCTCACACGTGGCTTATACACCCCAGCTTAACACCATGCGGAGGGAGAGATGCTCGGGTACTTACTAGTTTAGGATTCTCGAGGTTTTTTTTTTTTTTTAAGGATCAGGAGCGGTTCCCTGCCCGGCTGCAAATCCGCTTGCTCTGTCCATGGTGCTGAACCGGATCCCCCTAGCCATAAACTTCTGACTTGAGAAAACGTGTGTAAAGCCGGAGTGGATCAGGTGATACAATATATGGGATCGATGTCGTTCCTTGCTCTTTTAGCTTACACGAACTTTTTAATGGAACTATATCAAAGTAGCCAGTTCATCCCTTAATCTTTAACTTCTGCATCTTGTAAGGAAGCAAGAAGCAATGGATGAAAACTAATCAACAATGGACAAGAAGCGAAGGAAGGAAATTAATCAAGGAGAGAAGCAACCTAAAACTAAGGAGAAATTTCATGATGGTTAGAACAATTAATCAGTGGAACAGCTTGCCTTCAGAAGTTGTGAGTGCTCCATCACTGGAGGTTTTTAAGAAGAGATTGGACAACCATTTGTCTGAAATGGTATAGGGTTTCCTGGCTGAGCAAGGGGTTAGACTAGAAGACCTCCAAGGTCCCTTCCAAATCTGTTATTATGTTAAGGTTGGCAGTGGATGTGCTGATGGTCTTTCAGAACAAGAGGATAAACAATTTGAGAGGTGAAATGTAATCCTAAATCATTTACATTCCAGGAAATTATCAAATTTTTCTGTTACTTTCAACAGAATTTGTTCTTGTGCAAAGCAGACATTTTCCACCTCCCTCATCCCAAATCAGCTTCAGACCTTCTACCTTTTTGAAATATCACTGTTGCTTTCAAAATATTCAGCCCTGTTCAAGACTATTTATTTATTTGTTTACTTATTTATTTATACAATTTCTATAGCTCAGCCAAGTGACTCTGGGCAGTTTACAATTCTGAAGGTAATTCTTTAAATTAGCCATTTAAATAAGCATTTTATTTCCACTTGAATCAATGCTCCCTTTAAGAACAGCTGCAACAATTTACCTCTGCTAGATACTCAACAGAGAAGTCTTCTGTGATTCTTCATTTATAAGCTAGGCAATCCGGTCCACGGTTCTTGGATGTGTTCAGTTTAATTTTGTTTATTGTAGAACAAATAGAAGCACAGCAAGAAAAGCAGCTGCCCATTTTACAGACAGGCCAATTTACAATGCTAGTGCAAATAGCCACACAGTATATGAATGCTGTTGCACACAACTTTAAAACACACTTAAACTTTCTGTTATCCATCTTGGGGACTGAAATTCACTGAAAAAGAAATAGTTCCCAGTGACCAAAACTTCCCTTTGCAAAGAGATTACACAAATAAAGACAAGAAAATGCAAAGGACATAAAGTCCTTAGAAAAACCTAACTAAAAAAATACCCTAAAATGTAAAAACCTGGGATAAAGAGGCTTATAATAACTGGTACTCTCCCCTCAGCAAGACAGACTGGGGTTTGGGACTTTACGGAGAACGTAAAAGTTTAACCAATATTCATTCAGTGGCTCCAAAGATCTGCCAAAGGCTCGTGGTGCCTGGTCTGCTGAGCCCTTCTCTGGTAAGGTGGGCGCGTCAGGCATACTGCCAGATGGACCACAGCGTGCCAAGGGTGATGCTGTAGGCCAGCACTGCCACCAGGTAGGCACGGAAGAGGAGGACATCCAAAACGTAGCCGACCTGCAGCCACTCGCAGGCAATATCTCGGAATTCATCTCTCTTCTCCAGGAACTGGCGGATGGCTGCAATCTCCTGTAGGATATGCGCAACCGACTCTGGGCTCTCGCCCTGCAGGGGGTCTGTGGCAGCCCCTGTTCTGCCTTCGTAGTCACGTGTGGCCTCACAGCTGTAGTGGTTCAGCTTGGCTGGAGGAAGCAGGTGGAGACAGAATGGAGAAAGCTGAATCAGACCCAGAGGAGGCATGTGGGACCCTCCCTGCCTGCTGAAACAGAGGCTCAGTACGAGGTTTAGCCTGTCACCAACCTTCAAGAACCTTCAAGGCTCATCAAGTAAGACCCCTCTCTCTCTCTCTCTGCAGAAGAGAAATATTCACCCCAATGTACTGGGACTCCTCAACTTAGGACCACAACTGAGCCCAAAATTTATATCTCTAAGTGAGACATTTGTTTTGCCCCCTTTTACAACTTTTCTCGCCACTTTTGCTAAGTGAATCCCTGCAGTTCTTGAATTAGTAACACGGTTATTAAGTGAATCTGGTTTCCCCAGTGACTTTGCTTGTCAGAAGGTCTCAAAAGGGGATCACGTGACCCGGGACACTGCGACCGTCATAAATGTGAGTCAGTTGTCAAGCATCCAAATGTAAATCACATGACCCTGGGGATTCTGCAACGGTCCTAAGTCACTTTTTCCAGTGCCTTTGTATTTAAATGAAGTGTTGTAAGCTGAGAACTACCTGTAGCTAGGTTTACCCCTTAGACAAAACTGTATCTTGTGTGAACCCAGCCAATTGGGGTGTATTTGACAAATCATGGCTTAATGCAATCTGACTCCAGTGGCAGATGGCTGAGTGATCAGGCTGTGATTTCGGACTTCTCACCTGTGCTGTCGTTATTCTCGATGTTCCTGGAGATGTTTGAACTTTGAGTGCAGATGGGGCGGAAGGCTTTCCTGTCTTGGATGCAGAGCAGGATGGTGGCCCGCTCCAGAACCCAGCGCTTCACCCAGTCAGGAACATGGGGCTGAAGGTCCTGTTTGTGCACCAGGCGTACAATGAGGATGGTCTCTGTCAAGCTGATGACCAATAAGGCCATGCAAACCACAAAATAGATACCTGCAGGAGCAAAGCAGCGACTTCAGCAAGCCCTCATTTCTAACTCCTCTCTACCACTCATATCCAGGATTCTAGTTTCTCCTGATTCTCATCTATTCCAGCCTCCTCTTCAGTTGATCCTAGATTTCAACTCAGGTAACATGTTTGGTCCCAGCTACACTTTACATGTGACATTCCCTGGTCTTAGCGATCACTCCCAGCACCACTTCTTAAAGCAACCCAGAGGACATTTTCTACAAGACGGATGTTCCTCTTGGATTGCATCTGATCACTGCAGATCTCAGAAGGTTTTCTTCTTTTCCTCAATTTGACTGTGTTGCCACTAAGTTGTCATATCCCAGCAGTGCAAAAGACACTAAAGGTATATTAGGAGCTCTGGTGGTGCATTGGTTAGAGTCCAGGATTGCAGGCCAACTCTTGTCTAGAGTATGGAGTTCAATCCTGGCGGGACTCGAGGTTGACTCAGCCTTCCATCCTTCCGAGGTTGGTAAGATGAGGAGCCGATTGTTGGGGGCAACAGGCTGACTCTGTAAACCACCCAGAGAGGGCTGCAGAGCACTATGGGGCAGTAAGGAAGTCTAAGTGCTATTGCTGTTACTCTCGTACCTATAAGGGGGGTCCCGATAGCAGTCGCAGGCAGTGTGTCGGACACAATGATTAGGAAGACAGAGTAGCCAAGGAGCAAGGTGATCTTGAATGAAACTCTTTCCCCACTATCAGGGGGCAGGTAGAAGCCCACAATATCCATGACCATTAGAAAGATACTGGGGAGCAGCAGACTGACAGCATAGAAAAGGGGACGTCTCCGAATGACCACCTGTTAGGACAGAAAGAGAGATCTGGAAGCTTTGGGTGTTGTCCAGAGATATGGAGGCCCAAAGCAAAATCTTCAGACTGGCTCAGTAGATGAAAGATCAACAGCCATTTTATTCATACATTACCCCAGCTGCAGCTTCTAGATCATGAGAAGGATGGTTGCCCATAAACTATGTTATAACTACCGTATCTGATCAGGCAGTTACTAGTTCTTTCTGGGACCCCATCATCCTCCCACCTCCAGTCGTTTGGGTAGTTACAATGCCAGTGGGGCTCCTGGCACCCAGCCCAGCTTCCCCTCCTATGCTCACTCCAGCAACTTACAAAGAACTTCATCTCAGCATAGTAATCATTGTCCCCCACACTGAACTCTCGAAACTGGCTGAGCACGTGAAGAAGCTCCCATTCGCCCTGGTTCATGAAGACGCTCCTGTCAGTTTTCACCTCCTCTGGGGTCCTCCATAGGGAGAGGTTGATGTCTCGTACTGAAGATAAAGAAATGGAAAAGGATGCCAGAGAAGAGTGGTTTGCACCAAGCACTAGACTGGTTGATCAAAAGCCAACTGTTGACTTAAATAAGGTGTGAACCACAGGCTTCATAGCAAGTTATGAGAAGACAGCCAACGTGGAACCCAGATCAAGGCTTTAGCATGTTGTGTGAATCCAAGTGCTGTGTTATGGAAAACTGTCACAGAGCCTGACTGGTCTCTTTACTCAGGTCACCTCACTTTAGCTCCCTGGCAACATAGGAAAGTTTTGTTACAACAGTCATGAAATTCCTAAAAAACAAAAAGACAAACGGGCTGCAGCCAACCCATTCTTAAGTCAATGCAGTCTGCAATCATGCATGATTCTTTTTCTAATGGTTCTATAGTGACCATTTGAGTCTTGAAAATGGAATCTTTTCTGCATTGGATCCTTCCAATCATGCAGGAGACTGTACTCAGCAATAACAAACAAATTCCCCAGGGACTTTCTCATGGAGCAAAAGGGCAGATGGCTTCTAATTGTAGAATCCCGCCAAGCTGCGGTGGAGAACAGCCATTGCTAGACTAGTTCTCCATCATCAAAAGGATTGTTTAGGTTGACAGGAGGATATTGTCAGCAACCAGAGGTGGTAGACACCGGTTTGACCTCTCTAGTTGGACTGTAGAAATGGTTTGTCCCCCAGCATATAGGAGGCCCCAAGAGTCCAGCAATACAGCTTGTGACCTACTGTTATGCAGCCAACTGGTGAAGGTCAGAGAGCAGTTCTGTACATCGAAGGGGAAGTTGTAGATGTCCAGGCTGCAGGCGGTCACTACTTGGACAGGCTTGAGATTCCTCACTTCCCCATTATAGAGGATGTAGACGTAGGGGATTTCGGGGGATTTGCCCACATCCACACTGCAGGAAATGGAAGAGGAGAAATCGGAACTCAAGAAAAAGCTACACCAATAGTCTAACTTATAGGCAAATTCATAAGTGGAGATCAACCCTGGAACATCCCCAGAGCAGATTTTCCAAGGTGGAGAATGGATTCTCTCAAGAAATGTGACCTTAAAGGAAAACACTCTGTTTTGCAACCTGCCTGCTTCCCATCAATTCATTCGTGCAAAAGAGTCTGTTCAAAATTCAGATCAAGAGGAAGAGCAAATGAGAACAAACAAGGAACATTTGGGGTGCCTGGTGACTTCTGTATACCGTATTGCTCTAAGAAAACGGGGGTTGGCTGGTGAAGTCATTTGCTCTGGAAGGGGGGGAAGGAGCTCCCCTCCCCAGAGGACCCTTCTAGCCCTATTACAAAGGTCTGGCAATAGCAGCCATAGAAGGCCCGTTGGCACCAGAAATGGCTTCTCTGATTCTTTCCAGAGGAGTTTGGCAGCTCCGCAGCTGCCCCTCCATTGTCTCCACAAAGACTTCCTCAGAACGCCCAGCCCAAGAAGGGTAATTATGGCTGTTTATAGTTTTCCATTCCTGGAACCATCCCAATTCCTTAGCCTTCTCTCCATCTGCAATGTACAGCACACAGAAGATGGAGCCAGTTATGAGCCAAGGAAAAGCAGGCTGGGAATACTAAGCGCAATGAAGCACCAGGGAGGAGAAGGGAGGACCAACCAAACTGTCCAGTTTCCCCTCTAACCTGTCCTGACACACGCCATTGGCACGGGAGGGGAGCCTGAGGAGGCTTCCGCAGACTTACAATTCGTTGATCAGGATATCTGGGACCCAGATGGCTTCGGTGGGGACGGACATCTGGGTGATGTTGTCGAAGTCCTCTGGATTCCATTTCAAGAATTCGTCGATCCAGTGCTGCAAAATGGATGGGAAATGGTGGCAGATATTGTGTTTACCTCACAAGTAGATGCTGAACCATTCAAGCAACATTAGGCTACCATCCACAATTAAACAAGCCATGCTTAGTACAAGGAGTGAAGGACAACCAACCAGGAGGTCAAACGCCACACTACTGAGAGAGCTCAGCCTTCTTACCTGCCTGTACCAAATATAGGTGGTCAGAACTTGGTTTTTTTCATCCTGTGGAAAGCAGAAAAACAAAGATGAGGCTGAAGGACTGGAACGGTTGGGTCACTCCTAGGTCTGCCTCCAAAACTAGCCAAGATAGGGAAGGAAGGAAGATTTTGCTGCTTTTCTCATGACTCAAGTCTGGAGAGTTGGCTTTATCTAAAGGAGGTCTGTCTGCCTGTCTGTCTGTCTGTCTCTCTACTAATCATGATTGTGCAGTTTTATTGTCCAATATCAGGAATACTTTGGATGCCAGATTAACTAAATTAGAAAAAGTAGTACATTAAAAAAAACCCCATCCTAAAACAGATTCTGTCCTTGGCATTTCTAGCCAACGGGTCCTTCCGTGGAAGCAAAACCTCAACCGGAGAGTTCCCTGAGCAGCTGTCAGTTAGAGGAAGCAGCCCTGAGTCTAGATAATTATTCTGTTTATGAGGCCAGTTTCTGAATTTCAGCTTCGCAGCAGGAGGAAATGTACATGAAGCAGAGGCAGGAGCTTCAGATGCTTTAAATACCTACAATTTCAAACATCTCATGTTCGTATTTTCCATTTTTTTTAAAAAAAAGATCTTAGGTGCATTATAAAAAAGGCAAGGTGAGGGAGGTTCCTGAGGGGCCCTTTAGCACTAAACCCTTCTCAAACCCTGATGTGGCCTGTGACCCGCTTCACACCCATGTATCCAAGGAAGCCAAAAAAAGGGATTTCCCGAGGGAGGAGAGGGCTCCTACCACGCTCAGAATGGCATAAATCATGACGTCGATGGCCACATTGGTGGTCTTCCTCCAGTTCCAGACCGGCCGAACGTCCTTCTTGTAATTGGCAAATAAATAATCGGAGAGCTGGCGGAGGGCAGCCTTGCTGGAGCTGGATGCTTTGCTGGGTATTTTCTGAGAAACTGCAAAACAAACCAAGCACGCCATTGTAAGCGCTACTGATTTGTCTCTATTAGAGTTATTCTCCATCTTTCCTACCTAGTGTTCCCGCTGTGACCTTCCGACTCTTATTCAGAGCATGGGAGCCTTCTCCTGTCCTCGCAAACCTTCTGTGCTCTTGGCCTCCTCTTACTTCTGGATCTTTTCTTAAAGCTTCCTATTAACCTTATGCTCTGTTGTGCAGCACCACATCCTTCCTAGGTGCGCTTTGCAGGTCCTTCTTCATTGTCTGAGTTCCTGTTTGGCTGCCTTTTTTGCTGGTTTCCATCAACCCTTTGAGGTAGGCCACATCAAGAATCAGGCATGGCTGACTTCCCAGAAATCTTGAAAGCTTCCTCTCTGCCCCGTCTCACACCCAAAAAATTGGGCGGGGTTATTCTGAGTTTCTTTCTGACACTCACCCCATTCTCAGGACCAAATATTTTTTTCTGCAAGTACTTCCCCAATGGCTCACTCATGTCTTCCCCATTCACAAGACCAGGTCCCTCCACATTCACAGTCTTGCCTGCTCTGCTTTCCATCCATGCTACTGTATAACTCAAGCCATGACATTAACAATATCCTTTGGCCAAACCCACCCGGAGCCAGAGAACCTTGTTTGCTAATTTACTGACATTTAGACTGAACATCTTCTGCCAAAACCCAGCACATTTCTGCAGAATTTCTTATATGCTTTGATGAGATGGGGTAAACAATAATAAATAACCACTAACTACGCACAATTTATCTTGAGAGAATGTTTTCTACCCAGACGGATTCAATTTTGGGGCCAGATGATGGGCAACCGGTTGAATACTATATTTGGCTAATCTTATGATACCGTCCAAGTTTCCAGGAACAATTTTTCCAGCGTTAGCAGTAAAACCGTGGCTTCTGAGACAACCTTCCCCTATAAGGCAACTCGTGACAAGAGACAAACATCGAAGCTGCTCTTTGCAAAGCCTCTTCTTGTACATGACTTTCTTCCACTCGGGCACAATTCGCACCTCCCAAGCAGATCCTAATTGGAATAGATCTGCCAGGGCTTGGGGGAAGCAGGCTCAGAGGCGGCTTTTCAAGCAGGCCCCTCTGCCTTTTCACACAATCCCTAATGCCTGGGAGTTCATTTTGTGCACGAGCACATCTGGGCAGCTGGATGGCAAGATGATGGAGAGGGCAGAAGAGAAATTAGGGGATTTGGCAGCAAGCAGAGGGCCTCCCTAACCATGCAGCAGGATGTGCCTTTGTTTTTGTCTCAGTGACCCTTTAAAGCACAACTGACAGGTGGCCAATTCTACAGTTGGCCGGGCTCCAGGATCAGCTCTTAGATGCCTTCACTCCCCCACCCCATCCTATCTCACCCCCATTATTATAAAGGAAAAGGGATAGTTCTGTGGGCTACAAGAGAAGTCTCAGATAAATACGTTTCATCAATTCAGGAAGATCTTGAGTCAACACATTTGACCTTCTCTTGGAGTCCAAGGTGGAGTGCCAAAATTGGCTGACCCCATTCTCATGAAGAAGACCTTGATCTTTGGCAGACTTTTTGGGGGTATCTCTGCCTCCATTGCTTAGCATCTTTTGAGGATGACAGTTACCATTACTTCTGCCCTCATTTTTTTTGCATCAACAGTTGAAGTGGGATCCATAAAGAAGCCCCCGCATCAGTTAGAGCTTTATGATGCCTGGGAAACCAAGTCCTTTGCCCCATGAAAAAGGCAAAGCGGCAGATTGTTGGCAACAGCTGGACCACATTATTAGATTTATGGGTTTTGGTAAATTTTCTGGGGATGGTCTGAGTTCTTTTCTTGCCCTTGGGTGACATTTGGGGGGTGTTGGATTAAGCCAAGAAGTGACAAGATACGTTGCAAGCCGGGAGCTTGTTTCTGAAGCTGCTTCTGAAGCGTGTCACCATCTTGATTCCTCCTTCTGGACCAGCTTTGTGTTCATATGCAGCAGGATGAGATCACATCGTGAGGAATGGGACAAATGTGAAGACCCAGTTTTCCATTTTGCTCAGTTCCCAAGAAACATGGTTTCATGAGTGAACAGAGCGGCCCTGATTCTAGAATGTTTGGTATGCAATCAAACATCTCTTGGCTTTAGAGTTGACTATTGACTCTTGGTGATGGGAAGTCCAACATAAAGTTCTAAAGACAATGATAAAAGATTTTCTACAGGTGACATGTGTGGATATTTCCTGGACCCCTGAGAACATAGGAAACTAGTGCCAGTCTGGAAGATCATTCTGGACAAAAGAAATCAAAACATAGGGGATGTGTTTGTGTGTCTCAAAAGGTGTCCTAGGATACCAACCAAATAAGCCCAATTGTCCCGTTAGTATTTTCAGCTCCTGGCGTTTCTGTTCTTGTGGCTTAGCAAGATGAAAAGCTCCTAATTAACAGATTAACATTAGGAGCACCCGCACATGGTGCCTACGGAAACAGGAAGTTTGAACAGCTACGCAGTCATCTGTTCTCTGTGCTCTTGGTATCATCCAGTGATTCAGCCCTCACCATTCCAAGCAACAAGGAATTTAAGATTGTTTTCCTGAGTCCACTGGTCTTAGACTTCAACTTCACAAATTGTGTCATTATTTATTGGTGCGTGGTTCTCAGCCAGTGTACATTTTTAATAACTTCCCAAATGTGCAAAAAGAAGGCTTACAGTGGAGAAGACAACGAATGGGACACTAAATGTGAGTTCTGTAGCATTGATCATGTTACTTAGTTTGGTAATGAAAGGTCTGCAAGAAAACCAAAAGCACCAAGGACCCCACAGTGAGTTCCTCTTGCACCAATGATGAATTTAGACTTAACTTTTGCAACCCCTAAACAACTATCTTTGGGAATGTTCTTAACATCCACCAGGACCTTCAGTGAGAGGGTCTTGGTTCTGAGGGATCTAAAAGAGTGTTTAAACCAAAGGTCTATAGACCATCTTGTTTCCAAGCCTGGCTAGCAATGGCTCCCTATCCCTGGAACTATCTCAGACTGGGCAGGAGAGCAAGTCCCGTCACTTGTCCCTGCATCTTTTCTTTGGAAGGAGACCATCTCTGAACATGGAGCTCTACATTAAGATATCCTGGTGAATTTCTGTTCCAGGCCATCCTTTATTAATATGTCTAATCCTTCTTCCTCATTCTTTAGATAGTATCCATCTCTGCATTTGGGAGCAAGCATTTCCTCCCTCATCCTGGATAACAAGAATTTTACTTATTTTCCTTATTCTTGCAACTTTGTTGTTTATGATGAGGAATATTTAGCACAAACTCCAGAGGACTGCCCTCGACCAATTCATTTTCACACCAGCATCAAGGGCTATTCACCCTCATTCTTCTATCGACATTTCTCAATGTCCCTCAACTTCTGAAGCACAGGTCTGTTGTCAAGTTGGAAGACCTGGCCATCTCTCTACACAGACCCCACTCATGCAAATCCCTCCCAGCCACGAGGCATCCCTCTGAACTTTTGTTGAGTTTCTTACCTTTGCTGTGCACCATGGAAGCCACAGCAAGCAGGAGCAGGGAGACCCCCAGGGCAGAACGAGCCATGAATGCTTCCAAGAGGGTGGAAACAGCTTAATTCGTCTTCCTTCTTCGGATCAGCTTGTGGACAGCGGAGCAAGCCTTGCAAATCACTCCCACCTCTTCCTCTGCCTTTGCCTCAGCAGAGAAATTAAATGTAATTAAGGAAGCTGGGAGGGCTTGGCTCTCCTCCTTTCTCATTTTCCCCCGTCCGTTGGATTTTTAAAAAATGCATAATTGATGTGGCCATCAGCCCCTCTCCAGTGCCTCAAGTTTCAAGCAGAGAAGATTGGAAGAGACTCACTCTCTGCCTGCCCTCCCCCAGCTGATGTCATGCAAACCGATTGTGGATGGATCCTCTTGGCTGCTGCCTCTTGTGGAGACAGCCACCAGGGGCAGATCCATGCCGTGTGATAACCCGAGAGAGGAGTTGCATTACACGAGCCCTGCTTGAGGCCCGTCTTGGCAAATTGCTGGGGAGGTTTCAGCGAGTGTCTCCCCATTAACCTCTCAAGGATGGTGATCAGGAGCAGATAATATTGGCGCCATCCCTGGCGGGGCGCCCTCAGCTCCACAGCACAAGAATTCTAATGAGGGGAGAGCCAAGTTCTTTGGTGGACCCAGGATGGGTGCAGGAAGTGGCTGTCAGCTTGAAACAGACCCCTCCATTAGCATTGGGGGCCTCCGGCTCCCACTCCATGGTTCCGTGAGCTGGAAGCCATGCAGAGGTGCTACAGAAAAGGGATCTGGCAGCCCTTTTACCCAGTTCTTCTTTACCCTTTGATCTTCTGCATGAAGAGGAGAGCAATAACAATGCTATTCTATCAACCTGTATTCTGTCTCCTTCCCCCAATAGCTCCGGGGAGTTTCTCTCAATGTTCTTTCTGATTATATCCACTCAAGAAAAGATCTGTGAGGTGGGTGGGTGGGGTGGGTTAGGAACTCAAATCTGGATCTCTCCAGTCTCACAGCATCCCCTTGACCACCACATCAGTGTGTCCAGTTTGGTGCTTAGTTCTCTTGGGCAGCCCACAACAGCATCCTCAGTGGGGAGTCAAAAAAGCCAGGACTAGGGACTCAACCATGACTCTGTGACCCAAGCTCTCCCTTTTTGTTGTGTCCACCATGTCCACCACCCTCTGCAGTGGCCAATTCTGCCTCCAGTGTGAACATCTGGGTAGGAGGTGAGGATTGGACAGAAACCCCAAACTTCAGCATGACAGTCCTGGAAATTAGATGAGAGAAGGAAGAACCTGCATTCCTGGTGAAGTTTATCCTCTTGTTAATCCCTTGTAGGTGGATGGATGGATGGATGGATGGATGGATGGATGGATGGATGGATGGATAGATAGATAGATAGATAGATAGATAGATAGATAGATAGATAATGTGATGGATAGATAGAGCTATATAGAGACAGATAGATATAGATAAACAGATAATATTAATAACTTCTGTGTCAGAAGCACTGAAGAGCTTCCATGGTGAAAAGATTTGCCGGTGACATCATCGTTGCCTGGGGGAAGTCCAGTTGGGGGCTTCTTTTGTGTCCCTGTGAAGTGGTACCCATTTATCTACTTGCAGTTGCCTGCTTTTGAATTGCTGAGTTGACTGGAGCTGGAGCTCACCCGGCTCCATGTCAGCAATGGGTCTTGAACATGAGGCTGCCGATCATCAGCCCAGCATTTTATTATTTTTATTATTATTATTATTATTCAAATTTATACCCCGCCCTTCTCCTAGCGGACTTTTAACTTTATGAGCCACCATGCTCCTTTAGATAAGCGGATAATAGGTATGTAGAGAGACGGGGTGGTGTTGTTAATATGGAGAGGGAGAGAATCCTGTCTTCCACCAACAGGCCAGAAAGGAGAGGAGACAGGAGGGTGCTCACATCCCCTCCTCTGTCTCCGTCCAGATCCAGCTGCATCCCAGAGCAGCTCAGAGTCACTTAAGGGAGTTAGGAAATTAGTGCACAGTGCTGATGGACTTGGTCCTTGGTTGCCAGTTGTCGTGTTGCAGAGAAAGTGAGTGTAAAACCAGTGCTAATTTGATTACCTGACTCTGTTAGCAGATAGAAAGCCTCCTCCCGGCCAAGTGGAAATGGCTCAGAAAGACAGCTGGCTGTTATTGAATTTTGATAATAAATAAAATGCAGAGAGCAGTTGAATCACAGCTGACCAGCCGTGATGAACCCTTTTTCACGCTGTTAAAGTGGAGTCGTTGTTTAGGTTGACAGCCACTCATTGAAGAGTTTAAAGTTTAAAAGGAGCCTGTAAAAATTCACGGAAGACCCAGCTAATAAAGGGACTGATTGTGGGGAGATGTTATGGGGTTTATTTTCCATCAAAAGTCCCAAAGGTACTTCTTCAAGAGGCAACTGGACTTCTTCAGCTTCCTGGATGAGAAGCGAAACGTCTTCAAAGGAAAAACAAGAAAGTCCCGTTGCCTCTTGAAAAAGCACCTTTGAGACAACCATGACCTGGAGGACGGAGACTCTCCATAGGCATTGACCCATCAACAGGCAACATCCAGTTGCTGGGGAGCAGGTCAGTGGCCTTTGTCCCTTGCTTAGAAATCCCTCAATGCCTCTTGTTGACCTCCAAGTGGGAAAGGAGGTGGAAAGGAGCCCTTGGCCTGATCCTGCCTCAGAGCTGGGCTGATCTTCTTTCCTTCTTGGAATGGGAGGTGCTAATAAATTTAATAAAACAAATAAAGGGAACGGTCTCTTCAAATTATTCATTCTAAGCTGGGACACAGATTTAGTTTCCGTGCCCCATCTAATTAACTCGCTAGCCTGGCATTTGCTATTCCCCCACCTCCTTGCCTTTGCCCCATCCATCTTGAGTGGCTCATAGGATGCCCGGCAGAATGGAGGCCTGCCTTGCGGGCCATCAGAGATAAATTGGCAGCATCCGATCAGATTTATTTTCTGAAAATGGTATAATGGAATTTTATTAGTGCTCTAATCTGCTGTTCAGTAATTGGTTTTCCAGGAAATCAAAGACTCTCAGCGTCTAGAGACTGCCAAGTGGAGGAAGGCAGGAAGGAAGGAGCTCTCCTTGGGCCGTAACAAACTTTGCTGTCTCCAAACAAATCAGTCCGTGGCTGAGCCCGATGGCCAAGCCGAGGCCTTCACACTTCAGTGTCTCAGGTTGTATAAGCTTCTCTCCCTTTGCCCACCAAACCTGGGAGACTGGATCAAAAGTGGGCAGGGAGATAGTTATGGAGGAAGGTGGTCAAGACACAATGGCATCCTTCTTCCTAAGTGATGGTGGACTCCTGTTTCTCTGGTTCTTTTAGGCAAAGCAACACAAGGTGACTTCGGGGCCTGATTAACCATCTGGAAGAGGACTAAGCAACTGACACTCATTCTAGACAAAATGGGAGCAACTCAACCAAGGGATTCCTGTGACCCTTGTGTTTGTCACGTACAAGAAGAGGGTGAAAGAAGAGATCCGTCTATCTTTTTCTCAAGAGGCACCATTTACCAGCATAGAATGGTGGCTCAACATGTTCCTTCCAAGGCAGATCATTTGGTTTCAATCCCTCATACTCCAGTAACTCCCAAGTTAGATTATATTGTGTTCTGCTAGGTTTGGTATTGGGGAATCCCTTGGAGGCTATTCAAAAGTTGAAATTAACACACAGGGGGAAGAGTGGAGTTGTGATCATCTGCATGGTTCCACATTACCTGAAATTAAAAGTGGACTTGTACTTAATATTCTTCAGAGATCCCCTCACGTCCTGGAGATGCTCCTACCTAGGCAAAATGAAATGAGAGAGAGAGAGAGAGAAAGGAAGAGAAAGAGAGGGAGGACTAAGAAAGTCTTCATAAATGCTTGTCTCATTCTGCTGACTTCATCCCATTCCACCCCCTTAATTTCTTTCCAATTACTTTCTGAGAATGTGGGAGAGGAGAAAGAATAGGACTGGACCCTGGTTTCTCCTTTCCCCCCCACCCCGTTTTCTGCAGTTAGCAAAGATCCTTGAAGCTGCAGAGAAGAGACCCCAAGGCAGAGCCCCTGCCCCCCATCTGAGATGGAGAGCAGCTTTTTGAAGGGCTGAGCAGCGAGCCATTCCTTTCCTTGATGGAGACAAGCTCCCCATAAAAGCTAATGGGTTTTTGAAGGATATCTGGCAGGTGACAATATGTTGGGCTGCCCGAGCTTTCCATTTTGTGGAAATTGACACAGCCTTGGGGTGGCATGCTACCAGTTGCACAAATGCAGCAAGGTCTGCGCACGCCACTTTCTTCTGAGGTGGAGAAATGGGCAGAGGGCTAGCCCAGACCAAAGTCTCTGATGCACTGAGAAGAGAGCACCGAGGAGGTCCTAGAAGAGAACGTCTCCTTGCAAATGAGAGAGACCCAGGCTAAGCAGAAGGTGAAGGCCATTAATCCCGCCCCCAAGAACAGACGTTCAGCGGGTCGAACGGTTTCACTCCACCTGAACCCAATTCCACACGAAGAGGGAACAAGAAGACGACCATCGAGTGTTCGACGTCTACAGGGGTGGAAGAGGACGCCCCGGAGGTACCGGTCGTCGTCACGGTATTTAAGAGGAATTAAGGTCCTCTTTAAAGGATTGTCACATTGAATCGAACGGAAGTCTAGCTGTGGGTGCTCTATCACTGGAGACTGGATAATCAGTTGTCTCAAATTGTATAGGGAATCCTGCTTGAGCAGGGGGTTGGACTAGAAGACCTCCAAGGTCCCTTCCAGCTCTATTCTGATTGATTGCAAGATAGTGAAGGCAACTCGAGACTGAGAACTGCCACCAGATCCTCTTTACCACCCGTCTCTTTGCCCCAAATCACCAATGAACTTATTGCACCATATCTGGGCACCCGATGACCATAGATGGCAGCAAAGAGTTGCCATCTTCTGTATCGCTTGGCTGCCATGTCACTGTTCTTCCTCTGCAGCTCTGACAAAACAACTTTGGGCAACTTATCAGCCCGGGATCCTCACATGGGTTTAGAAACTCAGGGAGCTCATGAGGGGTGAGGAACCCCCATGTCTTTGT